ATGGTGTTTCCACAAGACCGGCTCATTATTCTCGTTTATCGTCTACCGTCTCTTCTCGGAGGAAGCGGCGAATGCTCGGCGTATTTTTGTCAGAAGAGGGCTTCCTCGCGAAATATACACGGCCGTGCAACGACGACGACGTCCGCGTCGTTTGCATTGGTCCCGGCCGTATCTCGCGCGTCTTTCGTATCTCCAGCCGGTGTAACGGCGCATTTCTCAGCACGACGATTAATCGCCGGAATTAACAATTAATGGCTGTAACCGTTAATAAGGTACGGAGAAATCACCGCGTCAATGCGCGAGCGAATTGTTTTTAAACGCATCGTACCGCAACACTTTTACACCTAATTATAAAAGAAAGGGTCGGTATGGAGAGTTTCTGTTTAATTGCGTTGAAATATCACAAGGACTTCAATACGATGAAATTCCGCGTGACATGCAACGTTCGTCTCGATTCGCCCAGATGCAAAAAATAAATCGGACGCACCTTACATGTGCACGGAGAAAGGATGTTTTGTTGGCACTGCAAATTGTTAGTTACTACAGGACCGGCAAGAGAATTTATTTGAACAGCAAAAAGATTTGTTAAAAGCATTAATTACTATTTACTGGATATACAGACGGCAAAACAATTTGATTATATCAACTAAATTTTATCGCTGTCGCAACAACAACAACGGTTTGTTACAACAGCAAAATTATATTTTCCACGTAATAAATTTCTTCGTTGTCATCATAATAACGAACGATTTACTGTGGCAGCAAAATGATTTTTTTTCCGTGTGTTACATCAACGTTTGCTAATTACTCAGGTTCGCTCGATTCCAAGAGGATCAAAGGCGACATCGCGAATTTTTCAGCGATATCTGAGAAGGCAGCTTTGGCTATTCGTGGCTATTTTCGATAGACAATATAGGGGATGCAACGAGAACGGCGAAATTATCTTATCCACGAGATGGCGATACCGCGAGGGGAAGGTCTACCTTCGCGAAAGTGGCTAACACCCGAGTCTATATACGCCGTCCATCGTGTCCTGCCGTTTCGCGCAAGTAGAACGCCTCAATGTGCCATTGAGCGTTCTATTCCGCGACACGAATGTGGGGAGTCGTAAGTGTCGTCAAGCTGTTGCTGCTTGAAACCATTATCGCGCTATTACTTCATAATACAATTGCAGGCGGCGAAGGTGGTCAGTGACTTCTAGAGCTTCGGCAATCGGGACAAGCTCCTCGAGACGAGCGAGTCGTTTGAGTCTTGTTTTTTCGGCGGGAGTCTCTTCCCCTCTCTCTTTCTCTCTCTCTTGTCACGATCACCTCGTCTATCGAAATGATCAGAGCGCCATTAGATGCTAATGTCTTCCCGCAGATATTACGGCTTCTCGGATGCAAGGAATTTATCCGAACAGATGAATGAGAAATATCTGGCTCCACAGATCCTTACTTTGATGAATTTTTTTCGCGAAGAAGATCTTTGATCGTCTTGGAATCGAGTGAACTTGATAATTGGTAATTTAGCAAACGTTGATATACGCACGGAAAAAAATCATTTTGTTGTTGTAGCAAACTGTTTTTGTGACAGCAATCGAATTTAGTCGGCATATCCAAATTATTTTGCTGTTTAACCGGAAAAAAAATAATTATATACGATTATATATAATTATATAAAATCATGTATGAATTTTACCCATATATGTGGTTACATATATGATCATATATGTCTGTACGAAAAATAAAACGATGCTTTGTCATTTAATTAAATGTCGATATCATCTGCTGTCGGAAGTAACCAGAAGCATTTACTTCGATCGTATTTGCATATAATTTGCAAACAACAATATTTTTTCGTTGTGGGCATATGATTATATATAGTCATATATGAGCAAATTTCATGTACGATCCTTTCTTTCCCGCGTATGTGTCCAGTAATTAATATTCTTGACAAGTCTTTCTGCTGTTCAAGCAATTTTTTTCTTGTTCCTATAGTAACTAACTAACAATTTGCCATGCCGACATAATATTTTTCACTCTTCTAGATTACTTTACAGTTGCGTGATGTATGCGATTCTCCATGAAAATTCATGCGAAAGGTAGCTCGCACTGTCGATTGTACAGTGTTCTGAGCAATGAATACTTAATAATTTTAACGTTGCAGTGGAAATACGCAATACGCAGCCATTTCCTCGCTTAACTTAACGACTTCCGGGAAAGGGCTCGTGGAGCGAATTCATTTCAAGTGCTCTCCTTGCCATTGACTCGAATTCCTCGGGCGATTCTTAACTCGTCGCCTGCTCTGGCGGATCTCAGTACGCTCCACTTCTCTCGTGTCCCCCCCCCATTCTTCTTTTTTGATCGAAACAATGATCGGTTCTGCGATGACCGATAGGGCACGCTGGAATACGGGGTCATACGCGTGACCTGTGCCTCACGTGATAACGCGAAGAGTGATCGAATGAGATGAACCGAGTAGGGAATTGATAAAGTACGAGATAAGTAAAAATGAATGAATACTTGCGCGGTTTCTGGAAGCAAAAGCTGATAAGATACGAATCATGTACCCAAATATGTATAGAGTTCAGAGTTTTCTATATTCTACATTCTATGTTCTATAATTTTAAGATTTTACGATTAATCTTTTGTTCTAAAAAAGTAATTGAGCATAAAATATTCTCTTTTATCTACACTGAGAAAAAGATTTCTTCAAATTTAATAAATTTTATTGCATCCAAACAAACTTCATTAGTGGTATGCTCCAAAGAAACTAATGTTTCGATTAATAAGTACGATCGTCAGACTTTTCAACGAATATGTATTTTTATTTTAAATGAAAAATTTGTTGTAAAAAATAATATTTTATTTAGTTAAAAGATATTATTTCGAATATAGCGTTCTTTCTGTTAAATAATAGAGTTTTCTTAAATGAAACAATAACATTTTTACTCAAACAAATAATATTTCGTATATGTTGTTTCTATGAAATAAATTTCAGTCAAATAAACGGAAATACTAAATCTAAGGAAACCCTTTTCTCTGCGTATAATTAACTTCCTTCGTTCTTCAAGAACAAACAGTCGTGGAGGGCATAAATTTCTCTTTTTCTCCATACACAAATATTTATATTTTCTTTACTCTTAACTAGGGAAAATGTATAATTTAGAAAAATACAAACACAGCGAAGACGCGCTACGAAAGGAAAGAATCGATATTGACCGCGAAAGGTATGACCTTATCTGTCGCGAGAGTGAGAACACGATATCCGACGTTAATAACTGTTCTTTTTTTAATCATCCTTCACCTGCACGTAATTACCCTCTTTTTCGGTCGACTGGAGTAAAAAAAACCACGATTGGTTCAACGATATCCGATTATCCGCGGTTTTCGTTGCGCAGTGTAATCGGCCATTTACTTTTTCCGCTTGACCACTCACTCTTTCTAATTAGCCATTTACTTTTTTCCACCTAGTGGAATTTAATCGGGCGAAAGAAACAATACGTGAAACGATGTATGAAACAAATAATCGATATGTTAGAAAACATTTATTTCGAAAGATTGATAAAAGTCAACTTTTATTCTTTTATATTTATTATTATATCATTTCATTCCTTTATATTTATTGTATTATATCGTTATTTTATTATTATATTATTATATTATTTTTAACTTTTATTCTTGTTATATTTGGATTCATCTCGTTGCGCGAGCACTTCGCTAGTCTTCCATCGGCGGCGTTAACGCCGGCGCGGAATAGATCGCGATCGTTAGCACGCAATAGATTGCAATAGATCGCTTCATCTTACTGCAATAGAACGCTACATCTTACGATGCACACGACGATAAGTCAAGGCAGTGGGTGCGTATATGTTTTATGCAGATCAGCGCACGTAACGTGAGATACGAGACGTAGAGTCGCCGATCGCGAGGCGAGACAAAGGAATGATCAAACGGAGGAAAACCGCCAACAACAGATAGGATGCGATAAAATTCTCGCAAGCTCGGCGATCGACAACAAGAAAACCGAATATATCCATTCACCGGAGTAATGAGTCTTCGTTATTCCGAGACAATTTCGTTGCAATTTAATTCGCGAATTCTTTAGAAATTTGCTCTTTCTTATAAAAGTCTTAATCAGTAAAATCATTTTCAGCTCGACCACACACACACACACACACACAGTAGATCGCATTGTAGATGGAATTTACATTTGTTTAATACGAATAGACAAGCGTCCGATGGCAAAGGTTCATCGTTAGTAAAGTGGCGAACAGGATAAATCCTTCAAAGTACAATCATCAATCAGAATTAATTTAAATAAATCACTGCCAATTGCGATATTGGCTTCCTGACAGCGCACACAAGGCGAATGTGAAATGAGACTATAATACGGAATGTGAGATTTGCATGAAATTTCAAAAACGTATTCTCTGATTTGGAAACGATTTTGTGTCGGAGGGACTCTATTTGCGCGTTTGCTAGTTTACACTATTATAACCGAACTAACCGGATTAACGACTGATTGTTTAAAATGTTTAGTGTTTCTCCAATTAAGATTTTCTGTTGAGATAAAGCTGTCTTGAGATAATCTGAATAATTCACGTTTATAATTCTGAGAATTAATTAATCAAGTTCGATCTTTCTCGGCAAAGTGTGATGAGAAAATTCTTGCGAGATCCTCGCTCCGAGCTCCCAGCTAATAAGTTATTAGAATAAAATTCGAGGAAGCATACTATTACTTCAGATAATTCAACATGTTTTCAATCCACACACGATAAATGATGCTGAACGTAAGAATCACGCGCGAGACCGCGGTCTTGAAAATTGTGCGGTACGAGGAAAATCCTACTTCAAACCGGCCACGGAGGCTGAATTTTAATGAGAGCTCGATGAGACAGCCAGGCAGTCAGCCAGGACGATGGCACTCGAATCTGTCTTATCTTCGTCCCTATCGACACGTTCGATTTCGCCGGTCGGATAGACGTAGGCGAGAAAAAAGAGCGCACTTTATCTCACCTTGTATCTCATCTTTGTGGTCTCCTTCCCGACGCTGTCTCCGACGGCGGTATTAGCCCGCGTATCTGCAAAAGGATGGGGCAGATTATTATTAAAAATATCCCCGTGCGTTTCGATACAACGGCGACGGCGCAGTGAATCACTTGTTTTGCATTGAATGACAGAACGCGAATGGTATTACATATTTTTTTTTCTTTCGCTCTCCTCGTCGCGATTCCTTTGTGATCACGCGGGTCTTCTCGCGAGGGACAACGACACGCGTCGCGATCGTCGCTGTCGTTGCGCGTGAGAGGAACTTTCCTTTTGCAAACGTTCGCGAGTTCGTGCGTACCACAATTCATTGGTCCATATATCGATTATATTGGCATTCATCGGAGGTACGTTGAGTGAGTGTTGCCCAATATAAAGACAACCAAGACCCGCGGAAACAGATTTTGCATAGTATCTGCTGTAAATTTTGCCGATAACTTTTTACTTTTTTTAACTCCTATCTGCTCATTCCGATCTATCTCGTTCAAGGATATTCAGTAATATTCGTGTGATTTATTTTGTCTTGTGCGGTATGTATCCATTGATACATCCAACTCAGTTACTTTGTCACAGTGCGACCAGATCGGCTTCCTTTTTGAGCTCCGAGGTGCATTCTTTACAGTCATGAGACGACCAACTGGCTCGTTAGGATGATTTGATATTCCATTCTTATAGGTTTCTCTTAAATTCACGATCTTCTCCTTAACAAAGGTGATGCCCAAGTCATGGCGAACAATCTCGTTCGTCACATCAGTTGAAGTACTTTGGATGGAAAACCTTCGGACTATTTTGATGTTTGAGTGCGAAGCAGTTCCCCATAATTGAATCCCCACGTGGGTTTGATCGTAGTTTTAATACTTTATTTCTTAAATTTACAGTTGGGATCCTCGTCATCCGATACAATTCCTTTAAAAGTAGCCTTAGTTGTTTCCCTTTGGTGTGTTTTCGTCGATCACTTACTAGCAGAAATACAATCGAATTTGCCAGCAAAACCTGATGACAGATTAATCTGTTATCACGTTCCGCCGACAGATCCTTGTTGTATTTCTGCTAGCGAGCTGTCGAAAAAATTCATAGAAGTGCAAAATCTGCATGTTTGGCTATCCGGTTATATCGGGCAACATTCATTCGATGTACCCCCAATGAATGCCGATATAACCGATATTGATGCATCGTCAATAAATTGTGCTATTAAGATATGTTTCGCGTGTATACATAAACATCGTCTGAAAGAGGAAATTAGGTCTGCTTCCAGTCTGTGCCATGGCGGCACGTGAGATAAAATCGCGAGCGAAGCCGGACAATTAGCGTCGGTGTATAAGCTTTTTGTAGAAATTTGGAGAGCTGAAGGAAAGAAGAAACGGATGAGCGCGTAAACTTTTACCGGATACGAAGTCTCGGGCGGGATAGTACCACTTTCATAATGATTTATCTCTCCGGCACGGTACATTAAACCGCCAACGCGTTGCTTGACAACCCGATTGTCTCAAAACGATCGTTTCGTTCGCGAACGAAAACACCGTGTGTGCCGTTAATCGGGAAAATTTCTTCTCTCACGAGTAAATTTAGATAAATCTCTGGGACGTCTCTTTTTTTCCTTCGCTACCACCTTCCTTCATATTCGGTGATACGCCGCCTTTTATTTCTCGCTTCGTTCTCTTGCATTGTTTGCTCGATCGATTGCAAAATCATCAAGCTTGTAGGGATAAGGGAAAAATAAGAGATAGCCTGTATAGCCTGGAATTATTTCGAGAAAAATTCATCGATCTGTAACGGCCACGCAAGAAACATCGTTTGTACTATTCTGTATCTGAATTATCATTTCTGGTGATAGGCATCTTACTTTAGGGCTAGCATAATTTCTGAATTTCACGTACATTTACGAACTGACCATCAAGACCAATTGTTTGTTAAGCTGCAGTAATTGTAAAATTACTGCGTTGATGATGGTCCAAAAATTATGGACCGAATCGTTCGTTAACTACACTGAAAAAAATTGCTATGTTCGAGTAAATATTTACTAAGGGGCTATTTATTGTAGCAATTTATTTACTTAATCCAAATAAAATAAATTACTACAACATTGCTCAGTAAATATTTACTTAAACATAGCGATGTTTTTTTCAGTGTAATTCTCACATTAAATGTTTTTCGCTGAAACACCAGCGATTTGACTCTTACGTGCTTAACAAGTCGATCCGCAGGATCTTCGCAGGCAGGAATAAGCAACGGATTTAAAAGTCACCGATCGCTTTAAGATCGTTGGAAACTTATTTTAGGATGCTTCGCTCTGCACGTATAATTCTCGGCTCTCCGCGCCGTCCGACGAAATCTGAGAACGATCTTTCCCGATTAGCGGGTTAAGCCGCGCGGAAAAGCGCGCCTCCGTCTAATCACACAGCGATTTACTCCCTTTTGTGCTGCAAAATTGCGTCGTGAAATCGCGAGATCATTATTAAATCAGATGCATCCCGGCGGATCGACGAAAGCGTGCGGCACGCAGCCTCGCTCTCGCTCAGGATCGGCTCAGCAGAAATTTATACGCATCCCGATATTACAAACTTGGTACTACCGCCGTCCTATTCATCGACGACTTTCCCTGATGCCGCGTTTATCTTTGATCAACTACAAGGAATAATCAAGCAGAACCATCTGCATTTTAATTCCGACGAAACGAAGAAGGCGCACTTAATACATTCTATCACGACAAAAAGAAAAAATTAGAAATATAAAAATATGAAAAAAATGTAAAAGAAATTGTGTTACCTTACCGTTTTTCGGCCTCTCAACGCATTATTCATCCGTTAATCTTTAACAATCAACCCTTTTCTAGATAAGCGTCTCGGAAAAAATCCTTCCGAATCTTTCGTATGACGTAATTAATTTCCTTATACGTAATTTATTATATCTACCATATTTGCATCGTCATTAGGGATAGTTGTACCTTCTCGACTCGTACGCAACATCGACCCTGCTCTCGCCCTGCGAGATGCTTTCGATTTCGCGTCTGCTGCCAATCGCCATCTCGCACGAAGAAATAATCGTGGCGCAACAATCCCGCGTGGTCATCTTCGATCATTTAACGCCGCCAACGCCAACGTCAATTAAAGATACACGAAGTGGATAACTACAGATACCGCTACTCTTATGCAACGGAACGTCCACAATCGCAGACATATAGGTACGAAATGGAGCACGCTCGTGCTCCGCGTTACGGAACGCGAGTTCCGAATTGAACCATTAGATCCGACCTCTTCGTCGTGTGAAACGTGGCCGACGTGGTCGAGTTTTATCCGGTATGAAGAAGTATAAGGAACTATCTCTTCGTTTGATTTGTGAGTTTAATTCAACAACGATAAGAACGACGATTACGAATTTATTTCAAGTTTATACCGAGAGAAATTATCGTTCTCTCTGATCTCAACTATATCCTTTTGGTGGTTTTATTTACAAAAATAGCGATATACATGTAAGGTTACTAGCATTGGCACTCTGTAGTAACACTGATTTAAAAAAATCGTTCTTCTATCTGTAATTCTTTCATTATGATAATTATATTAACTAAAATACCAAATACTTTTCTTTTAGTGTACTTTTCCCGAAAGTAGATGGAGAAAGTATTGTGGTAGAAATTACCACAAAATTTTGCAATGTCGGGCTAAACTGGAATTATGATGTGTGTTACAATCTTTACTAATGTATTTCATTGTATACTTCACTGTGGATCACAACACGCATAATACGGCCACATTGGAAAAATCGTTTGATACATTGTACTATGCTGGATCTGAATTATCATTTCTGTTGTCTTACTTTACATAATTTCTGAATTTCACGTTGGCATCGAGAATTTTACATTTATGAATTGACGTCAACACCATTTTTCGTTAAGCCGTAAGATTGCGCCGATGATGATCGAAAAATTATGGATCGAAACGTTCGTTAAACATTGTAACTACACTGAAGAAAAAATTGCTACGTTCGAGTATACATATTTACTAAGAAGTATTGTAGTAATTTATTTTGTTTGGATTAAGTAAATATTACTTGAATGTAGCACGCTGGAAGAAAAACAGTGCGTACATTCAGGTAATATTTACTTGGTCCGAATAAAATAAAGTACCCCTTAGTAAATATTTACTTAGGGGTCCAAGTAAATAGAAGATGCTTCTTTAAAGATGCCGGAGATGGTTCATTCAAAGCTCCGGAAATTATGCGACTTTTCGTAATAGCAGAACTTTCAGTTTCGGTAACAGTTGAATATTCATTAGGAGAACGCGAGCCTCCCACCTGGAAGATGTTTTCGGCTACGTGTCTCGTCATTTTTTGGCACGGCTTTCTTATCAAGGTCCACGAAATGTTGAAGATATAAACGGACTCTCGCGGTTCGAGAGAAAGAGAGGGGGAGAGAGAGACCGTCTCTTTGTGCGAACGCCGAAAAACACGCGCGAGGGCCGCGATAAAGCGGCCCGTTTTAAAATCTATTCATAAACGCGAGTCGCGTTAAAAGAGCGGCGCTCCATTCGTTAAGACCGCTCCGCCTCTTGCCGCATTAGTGGATCACATAAACTCGAAATTTAACTTCTTTAAAGCGATGCGCTCGACCGTTTTTTCTGGCGCGTCGCCAGGAGGGTGATTTAACGTCGGAGAGACGCTCCTGTTGCAGGAGACACTTCATCAATCTCCCACCGCGGATTTTTCCGACGATACTTCCGTCGACTGCTGCACATCGTCGATCGATCGATCGGCACGATACGCTTCATGGTACCGAGAAAACTTTCGGCTGAAGAATCACAGAAAAGTTAACGTCTGCTCACTCTACTTATGATGAATTTACGTTATCGTAAATCCGGATCGATAATTTAACGTTAATTAAAAGTTAATAAGTTAACTTTTAGCCTTTTGCTCTAAATCATAACGTAATTTCTGGCAGAAAGCGTCTCCAGACGTCGCAATTTTTAAGAATTAAGCGTTATTGCGACTTTCGTTAGCGCGGAAGACGTCTTTTGTCGGAAATTGTCTTACAATTGATTGCTTACAGCAAAAGGCTAAAAGCTTACCACACCTATTGTAGATACGGACTAAACTTTATTGATGATGCAAGCGATACTCTGATATTTTATATATGTGTATCGCGTGTCATTCTTCATTCAGAATTCGCGGACAGAAAAGAGGAAACTTTAACCATTATATTCGGGAATTTCAGGGAAGAAATTATTTTTATTACGAATTGTCGGAACACTACCTTGAATGGACGTGCCCTGAAAAACGATAATCGCAGAGCGAACGTAATGAACGTTGCGGTTTGTGACGTCAGAAGGTGTCCAAGAAATTCATTTTGAATATTCAACGCTACGAGAGAGAGAGAGAGAGAGAGAGAGAAAAAGAGAGAGATGCTTTCACCTTCGATAAAAGTATCGAGACGTCTCGAAGCCGAGGATGGTCTTGACGATAAAAAGAATCAAATGCGTGATACGAGGAAATCTTCTGATAAGAATATACGTTTAAAAGTTTTTCTCTCTGCATAATTGCCGAATTTCCACGTAAGTTAACTTACGAAGTCCTGGAAATGGCGTCCATAATTTTGAAGTAATCCCTGAAAATGAATCCCTTTGGATGCTTCACCTTTTTCTACTTGTGAACGAGTCATTTCGTAAAGAAAGCAAGCCGACAATTAATTTCGAAATAATCCCAGGCAATGTTCTGCGAAGATCTCTTGCTTTTTCCTGCCTACGAGCTTTCGAAGATCGATACCAAAGGTGGATATTACCAACTACAGTTGAGTAAACATAAATGAGAGAACAAGGAAAGATAAATAGGAGAAGACGAACCTAAAGTTGTTAAAACATGAGGGAAAAGGAAAGAGGAAATATGGTTTTGCGCCCTAAAAGAGACGAATGTCCGTAAAAAAGAAGAAAAAAGATTATTTGCTGATAGTCTTTCTCAAAGAATTTAAACGTTCCATTATGTATAGTTCATTATTTACTAATCAATATTAAAATATTATTTAATTCGTATCGATTGACACGGAATCGTGCAATTCCACAAACTTTTCGCATATAAGTAGAGTTTTGCAAATTTCCCAAAAAATTCTCATCATTCTTCTTCATAACAGCAATTTACTTATTACGAAAATTTGCAAAAAAAGTTTACTAAAACGCAAGTCATGTAATTATATAAGCTGTATTGTTGTCAACAAACTGTATAAGACTGCACAGAAAATAAAATTAATGTTTTGTGTTTTATAGAAAGACTTTCGACCTGTCAGCATTACAAATTGATGTGTGTATGTGAGAATACTTGTCATGTGCTTACTAACGAGAATTTCTAAATGTTAAAAATACTTCTCTTCTACCCAGAGTGAATAAACTTCTTTCGCTCAATCCAAGAAATCACGAAATTGTTCATTCTTAATGCGATATATAAAAATAATAACAAATAGATTAACCATGGAGACATCGGTATCAAAAAATCGAGAAGTACTTTACAACCAGCAAACGTTAACGATACGTTCCATCTGTCTGCACGAGAGGCTTTCTTCTTCCCAATTCCAAATATCACTTATCATTTTTAATGTAACACATAAGAGTAATAAACAGAAAATTTCAGATTGTTTAAGGTGTACAGTAAAAAAAATTCTGTGTTAAAAACGGTCCACTAAAATTTTGGTATCACTTTAATAAGGCGAGTATATTAAAAAGTAATATATTAACAAGGCAAATATACATTAAACATTATATCTATATATTTTTAAACACATTCCCCATTCCAGAAATGTGTTAAAGAGCCACAAAAATTTCAGTGAATCGTTTTATAACAGCAACATTAAAATTTTTCGCTCTATGGTATATAAAAATAATAAATATCTCAGTTTCTTGTCAGACGAAGAGAAACGGTATCAAAGGGTCGATCGACCAGCGCTCTCACCTGTTCGCAGCTTCCCTCGGCGGGTTTCTCACAAGCGCATATCCGACAACGCCGACGAACACCCGCACCAACTTCTGACCCTCCGAGTCGCGAGAGATCCTCCCGCGCGGAAATAAATATAGACTCGCGGAACGTGTGAGTACACGAAGGCAAGTGCGCGTTATCCTCTCTCTCTCTCTCTCTTTCGATCTGTGATTTCTCTTCGCGTCTCTCGTCGCTTCACGTCATCGCTTCGCGGAGATCCTGTTTCCTCTCACCTATTCTTCTTGCTCCTCGTTGCTCCTGAACGGCCGCGTTTCCGTGTGCCGGCCGCGGCGGAGGATGCGACTCGGGGGCCGTTGGTAAACTAAACTGAAGTTTCGGTTTGCGGAGGAACGACTCTAATCTTCGAATCCCCCACTATTTCCGCGCCACGATGCCCCGTCAGGAACGGATCGCGGCGTGGGGTCGTCGAGAGATCGCTGTGCTGCGAACTTGCGTGCGCAACGTTGAAAAAGCGGATTCGCGTTGTTTTACAATGCGCACGCCCCAATCGCAACTTCACCTTAAAGCTCACCTTGAACCATGTTATATCAGATAAAAAAATGGTCAATAATTGAACCTTTACACACACATATATCTCATACAGCACAAAGTTGTTCTAAAGAATATCCCAGAGAGAGAGAGAGGGATATATATATATATATATATAAATCGTGCGTATTAACCTTTCAAGAAAATATCCGCGCGAGAGCCCCGCTGCTAGTTCGCGTCGGGCGCGCAGCGACGACGCACGTCCTTGCCGTCGATCCCGATCGGTCGACGTCGTAGATCTTCGTCGGCTTCCCTGCGACGGCGCGCTTTAAAGAGACGAGGGATTTACGGCCGGCCAGCATTTGCCCGCAAGGCCTCGGAGGTAGGAGGTGTGCGACGTTTCGCGGCGCGGCGCCACTCCTCTCTTCCTGCGGACGCGCAACTACTCGTAATTGGCTGCCGGCTAACTCGCGGATTAGATCGCAATTTATCTTGGCCTCTTTGACCCAACGTGTGCTCCCCTCGATCGCGCGCGTGGGTCGCCGCGCGAGGGCCAGCACGCGGCATCCTCGTACGCGGCAGCTCGCTTCTTCGCGGCCACGTGCGGAGATCGGTAGATCGTGCGCCGTAACGAAATCGGGAAAATCAAATGCACGTTCGCTTCGAAGAAGAATATGGAGAAAAGAAATATGAACGAATTACGCGCTCGCCGAAGCGCGAAGATGCACGCCGTGTCTTGAATTAAACATCCCGCCGCGCTCATCCTCGCGTCTCGGTTTGTTGATACTGTAAGGCATAATACGAGATATCGCTCGTTAACAGCGATAGAATTTGAGGCTCGAACGAGCGAAGTAGGTGAAAGAGAGTCGGTGGAAACTTAATTAGATGGACCTCAGATTGGAGAAACTTGTTTCCACACATCGGCAGTCGGTGAGCTCGCACAAGCTCGAGGCCTCGATCTGCATATGTTTTCATCGCGCGTGTATTCTTTTCCAATTGTCTCTCTCTCTCTCTCTCTCTCTCTCTCACCTTCCTCCCCTTCTATTCTTTCTCTCTTTCTCTCCTCGAAACACAGACGCATCTTGTACGCGTTTCGCGTCGAAATACTTAAAAGGGACCTATCCGAAAAACGAATGTCTCACCGGACGTATCAAAAGAAAAGAAACAATCAGCCACCGTTTTCATCGAATGCTCGACATGATCGACGATTAAACGGGCAAGGAGAAGTTAATTTTGTCCGTCGACAATGCCGAAAGCTCGACGCGCCTCGTTGCATTCGCTTACGTTACCGTTAAGCAATATTTTGAGAGAGAGAGAGAGAGAGAGAGAGAGAGAGAGAGAGGAGAGCAATTGAGCGGTTCCTTTTCGATTGTTGTCAGGAACAAAAATCCGTTACAGTGTACATGGCCCACATTCGCGGATCGCGTTAACAACGACGAAAGCGAAAGCTCGACGCGCACTCTTGGTCAGTGTAGCACTTTCACAGCATTTCTGAAAAAAGTAAGATCGCGAATGCGACGAGATATCTTATCGAGATTAATTCGCTCTCTCTCTTTCTCTCTCTCTCTCTCTAATGCAAAAACATTCCTCGATGTATCGAACAATCAAGGTACGAGTGATTAATATAGCCGACGAAGTACTCCCACGATTCCCAAATTTTAAGGTTAAAGTTATTACACACCTGATGGAAATATCATGCCGAAAATTTTACTGAAATTCTCTCTCAATTCACCCAATTTCATTATTATTCCGTCAATGTACGCGGTTTTCAGTTAAATTCTGTAAATTTTAATAGTATATTTTAACTTTCCTTATATTCGAGTATTGGTATGAATTTAATGAACAGTGAGATGAAAGTTACTGAAAAATTATTGAAATATATAGTAATAAATGTTTCAAAACAAATCATAATTTGCATAATTTGCATTTCCATGTGAAATTCAATATAATGTGAAATATAATTAAAATAAAATTTTGAAAAATAAGAAAAAAATTTTCGAGATAAACATCATAAAATTTATTGAATTAAACAGAAAACTACGTATATTAATGAAATGGGATCAATTGAGAGAGTATTTCAGCAAAATATTTCCATCAGGGACTCCCTGGAAAAAATCATATATAAAATTTGCCCACGTGTGACTATGTATAATCATATATGCCCACAACGAAAAAATATTGTTGTTTACAAATTGTATGCAAATATAATCGAAGTATACGATCATACATGTAACCACATAAATGGGCAAAATTCATATATGATTTTAAATAATTATATATAATCATACATTTTTTCTCGGGCTTGAGCCTCCGATGAAAAAGTTTCCGTTATGAAATACTTGTGTTTACGACGACTCACCTTGTTCGTAATTCCTGCACATTTCGCAAAAATTACGCCGGGTGTTGTGGCTCAATTGAAACAAACGAAAAACGCGCTGCGTCAACAGAATTATCCTGCCGTCGGCAAAATTGTCGATCGTATCCGCCTTAAAGTAGGACACAGAGAAGCTAATTAGCATGGACTGAATGTAGAGAACTCGGACTGGGAAAGATCTACCATTTCTAATTCGCCGTAAAACGCGATTTTCCGACCAAATCGATTGCGCCGGGAGAATATGCAAAGAAATTTCAAGTTCAACGACTTCATCTCGTCGCCATCTGGAGTTAATTGTTAATCCGAGCGGCGTGAAAACGCGCACACGAAAGGAAGCCCCGGGGCCTTATTAATAATCTCATCGACGGCTCCTTCCGGCATGAATTATTCAAACATCGTCGAAACTTCCGCGGCTCGTTTGTCATCTATAAAGAGCCGCGCGCGAGACTCGGACTGACGGCGGATCGATTATTAACGGCGGCGATATCGAAATATGAGTTGAAAAACCGAACGATGCAAGCGGTGGGATCTGCCCACTTCTATTCAGCTGTTCGGTTCATGCGTGCGCGAGGAATTAAATAATTGCTCTTCGCAACATATATTATGCGGCGGTGAGTTATGCGGAGGAGCGAGACTCAAGACAAGGTAAATTGACTTAACTGCTGCCGAGAACCATAAACGCAATTGAGCGTGATGCAATTGGGCCGGTCGTGTGTTCCAAACAACTCGTAAATTTGCGTTTTTTCTCGCAGCAACGAGCAAAATCGATATACGACAACATATCAGGGTGGAATTACCACGGTAAAATACAAACCTTTCCGCACTTTGTCCAGGATTACAAGATTCTCCCGAAACCACGACTGAATTTTGAAATCGATCCGGTGCTGGCGAGTGTGAAGCACACCGAGGAAGAAATTTCGCGTATTTGTGACTGTAATCGCATAAGTGAAAAAAATTCTAATTAGAAGAACCATTCTTAAATAATAAGCGTTATGGTATCGGTGATAATAAACTCATACCCTATAAGCGATTTAGCGAAGTAAATCGGGTTAGCTGCGCGCGAAGAAGGACGAAACGGGGATTTCCAACCGGTACGGTTATAGTCCGCTGCTACTTTATTAAAAATGTAAAACGGTTGAGGCGATCCAGGTACAAAGATCATTACAGTTCGCGTTTCTAGAGCGAGAAGCAGAAACGCCCTCCACGGGAACCGACAGCCTCGATACCGGAAACGCACGAGAGAGCCCCTCTCCCTACGCGTCGTGATATCTGCAGTAAGAGCTGTCCTCGATGAGTTCCTCGGGAATCCACTCCTCCGCCGGAAACTGGTGCGAGAGAGTGGCCGCGTGATTCTCCACTTCCTTGAGGACGCGCAACAAATTCCCGCCCACCAGCTTCTTTATGTCCGTCGCGGACCATCTCCGATCTCTGGTCAGCTCGGCCAACAGCAAGGGGTAGCCGGATACGTCTGGCAATTCCGTCGGCGGCCTGGACAAGTATTGCTTCTGTTTTCCCACTACGTCTCTACGAGCTCGTTAGACTCGTTCTTTTTTTCGCTCTTGTTATGTTTGTGTAATTGAATAAAATAGCGGGCCGACCGAATAATATTTTACGTACGTATGGCGATCCTTGAAATATTAGTATTATTCTTTCGTACGATTCTATAGAAGGCTTCATTAATGCGATAATTTCTCATTCTCTAAGCACAGTGCCGAAAATTCGAGTCAATCGAATTTTCAACAGCGCGCGTAATTCGAACAAATGTTCAATAGTAGTATTATTGAAATTGATACGTCATATCTTAGTAACTCGAGTTATTAATTTCAACGAAGCGTTGCTATCGAAGATTTGCTCCAATTACGCGGGCCGTTAGAAATTCGATTGATTCACTGACACTTCCGCGGGAAAGTTTCCGAGAGGAAAACATTCCGTGTTATTGAGCGAGAATGATAAAAATGTGCAGTAATAGTAAGTTGAAGTGGTTCTCTTTAACTACCTCAGTATCCCATCGTAACCCGCGCCGAGACCCACGTGATTCACGCCAGCTGTTCGTCTGATATGATTGATGTGAGCTGTAAAAACGTATGTGTGTGTCTCAATCGTCCCTTATCTCTAACGCACAAGTTTCTTTCTTTTTTTTTTTATGTTTGCTAATTCGACACTACGCCACTTACGCACCTATAATGTCGTACATGGAGGCCTTATCGCTGCAGCTCAAATGGGCGCTGTCGAAACTAACCATAACCAGACCACCGTTGAGGGACTGAAGCGGACAGAAACGAAGGCCGCGTGATTAATCCACGAGCGAACACTGTCACCGTGGGATCGACATTGTCGAATATTCGCATTCGACTAGAAGTCAGCTATTTTTTCGCCATCCTCATCTCACGTAACGATGTGCGAATTTTTTTCAAAGCGTTATACACCTCATAGAAACGACATCGAGATGAGAAATCGAGACGTTTAAATGATGACAGCAGGAAATCAAGTTTTAAACGAATTTTGACTTTTCAGCGCGACCAGAAATATACAACTTCAAAAATTATATTGAATTATTCTTTCTTTTCCCACAGCATTGTCTTATCGTGAGCACTTCTGTTTTCGCGAGAAAGGGATAAAAATATCGGTCTTCGGGGATGCTAAATACTCGAAAGAAGAATTCATTCTTTAGAATGATCAGAACACAACTGGGAAAATTGACGGTCGCTTTTGGCGTGACGCGTTTAAAGTTGAAAAGTCTAATTTTGATTTATTTATCTTTCATTTGTCTGCCGCACTGCGGTGACCTCCGAGAGAAATAGACACGTTTAGCGACGAACGCGTGCGCGCTTATTCCTGGCATTCCTCTGTCTTACCAAATTCCGCAGTACATCGTCCGGGACGTTGCTCGACGAATTACAGAGCGCCTTGGCCGCGCTGTGCGAAAATATGACCGGTGCTTTCGTCACCGCGAGAGCGTCCCGCATCGTCCTTATCGAAACGTGGGAGAGATCGACGAGCATGCCCAGGCGATTCAATTCCCGGACGACCGCCTTGCCAAATTCCGAAAGGCCGTCACTGTGGAACTCAGACGCCGCGTCCGAGTTCGGATCGTCGACCGAGCACGAGTCCGCCCTGAAAATCGAAATCTTTCAATGCTCGATCTCGCCAAATTGAAGGTACACCGGTAACCCGGTGAAAAGCCTGAGTAAAAATCTGGCCGGAATTTAGTTTAACCCGGGAATAGCCACCTGGGGTCATTTCATACCCCAGCGGTCAGAAAATGAAGCTCACGTTGCAGTGGATTTTTTTTTTTACTGATCGGGAACCAATGTGTATCTCACATTTGGACATTTAGAGACCTAATCTAAAGAATAGGCTGTGACTCGTCTTATTCATAATATAAGCCTGTAAAAGCACAATGAGATACAAAACTTATCTTAAATTATACATTTTATTTAATGTTAAAGATAAAAAAATATCCATATTCTTAAAAATTTATAATTATTTGGTTTAAAAATATTTGTTATGTTATATATTTATAGAATACAATGAAGAAATATAAAAATAAATAATTTTTTACAATCTTGAATCAATACTAGTAACTTTCTATGATCGCGATTTACCCGCCTTACTTTACATTCTTATAAAATGAATGTTATATAATCTTTTTTAATAATTATTCTTTAAATATCTTATTCCATCGAAAAGAGGCAATAAAACAGCATATTTTTTATTGATATCTTCATTTGTTAGAAATACTGTCATAATAAGACACTCGATGCGCTTATTCTTAAATATTTTTGAGTTTTCCCTCATTTTTTTCAATAAATAACGAGTAAATCTATATTTAAAACGTCTCTAAATAATAATAGAGCAATCGATAATATGCTGTATTTTGTTAATAATAGCGGTTTTTAATTGGGATCTAAATGATCTTGGTCGTTCGAAGCGTAGTTCGAAGCGGAAAGTTCCACTTTTCCAGTCGTTCGTATCTCGAAAACTATGCCTCGACATTTCCGTCGAGAAGAGAAGTTAGCTTGAAATTCAAAGAAAACTCCGAGAACGTCTATCGGCCAAATTAAGTCGCAAGAATTGGAACACCGGGCGTTAATTTTCGGGGCTACTCACCACGGAGTGTTACACTTGTGGGTCAGGGTCATGTAGCGCGCGCCCAGCCGGTGGAAGCTCCTGAGCACCGCCATGGAAGTACCGATGCTGTGGCCTCCCTCGATGCCCACCAGACTGGCGATCACTCCGTCACGGTGAGCGTTCTCCAACTCGCCGCTCGTCGTCACCAGTCTGATACGTTTGGGGTAGCGCGCGGTCAGTCTGCGCACGATGTCGATCTGCTCGAGGGTGAGCTGAACGGCGTCGAGGAACTGGGCCTCGCACGGCACGTAGGCCGACCAGAATTGCGCGCCGACGATGCCCTGCTGCAGACGAATCAGGTCGGTCTGCCACTGCGGGCCCCAGCTGGCATTGCGCGACAGATCCTCGTCGAAGGGGAAGTTACCCAGCTTCGTGGTACCGCGGTGCTGGCGAAGGTTCCAGGCGAAGTCGTTGTGTCTGTTTGGTGTGATTCGGATTTTGAGAGAGACGCTCGATCGACGAGACCGTCGGCGAGAAAGAGAGAGAGTTCACTTCTCCGTTTATTTCTACAATCTATCGCTTCGAGCTATCGTGCACCGAGTGTGTTACCCACCCGTCGATCAGAGGGACCTCCGAGAGCATTCTGCGGACCACTTGCAGCCTGGCCTCCAATAGATGGGAGCTTCGAAGTTCCAGGGCGAGGGGCAGACCCACTCCGGCCACCAAGGCACATCCGAGGAAGAAAAATCCGGCCATCACCACCCATCTCCTCACCACGCTTCGTCCTACAATATTATCCGCCGTTGATAATTGATTCTCAAGTAGAGAATAATCGTAGAAATTCTCGACCAATAACTTTTGTTCGATCTTTATGTTATGGACTGGTCACCCTTTTTAATACAATGTAAGAAGATTAGAAGATGGATCAGGGAGATTACTTTCTAACGTTTAACGAAAAAAACTACATATGTACTACACAGTCAGTGTTACAACGCTTTTGTATTAATAGATTGTCCAATCACCATCGTTGAATTATTATCCGACATCTTTTACTTCCCACCGATTTTACAGCATATTCTCGAGATAAAGATCACTATATTGAAAGAATCTGTTTCATCGTGTATATTTTTTTCCACGTAATTTTATCTTCATTAATGTCCAAACATTTACAATAGTGTCTAATGACTGTGATGGTCAGACTTAGTGTCTCGACGTTACTTCCTTCTTTCCATTGAGAGTAAGGATGACTCTGATGTTTTGGGTTGTTGTCCTCTTGAAGAATCCAATCCCGACCTTTGCTTTAAAACCATCTTTTTCGGCAGACGGTATTAATGCCTTTCTGGTAAATTTTGACCGTCTTCTCGGCATTCAAATTCTTTGTAAAATAGACCGAATTGGATCACAGGGAGAATCGGATTAATATAAGCTTTGAGCCAGTTGTCGTTAATTTTTCGTTTCAAACGAGCTGAATTATCATGCCATTTACCTCCATACGCTTTCTCCGCGATCATTTCAAACCAAAAAAATCGACGACCACTATCTCGAAGCTTATATTGATCCTATTTCGCCATGTGATCTGATTTGTCTCGGTCTACTCCACACTTCGGTGCTCATCATATAAATACGTCGTTCTTTAGCAAAGGTCGGATAATAACTGGGATCCTTCAAAAGTTTTCAATACAATGGTTTTCGAACAGAAATTCCCCCGTTCACGCTCTTATCGGATAGGCTGTGCGTAGCTTTTGATTTATGCAAGCTTTTGTGGAACCATGTGCATCGACGACTGGCTGTATTTATTGTAATACTGAAGTTTATGTCAAGTATCTGTACAACTTACTCCCATGGAAAAATATATATCTAAAAATATATTATAAAATATATTTAAACATACACGTGAAAATATATACTAATATATTTCAAATATATGTTTACATATATTAAGTCATTTTTTGCCGCTTTGTATATATACAAATTATAAATAAAGAACATAAATTTGTAAGGTAAAATATATGTATGATATATATTTGAAATATACATTAGTATATATTTTCACGTATGTGTTTAAATCAATTTTATAATATATTTTTAGATATATACTTTTCCATGGGGGGGGGGGGGGGAGGGTATTTCGATTTTAATAGCAAAGACAGATAAACAATTAGTACTTATAGAAAGACGTGGAGGAAAACACGTCATTAGAAAGTTCGAGTTTTTCAAACGTTTTTCCGCTGTTCCGGCGCTTCCGTGTCATTGCCCAAGATTTGTCGTGTTCTTTCATAATTACTCGCCTAAAAACTGACCAATCCTCGATATTTACCGACGAGGCCGACAACAAACAATATGCCACGAGCGGCTCGTTGCGACTACCACCGCGCGGCGGGACAACCGCGGCGGCGGAATCCTCTCGGATCGGGAAGACCAGTCGAGCGTGGATCGTGTCTATTCGCACGTGAAATCGTCGTGACCGAAACTTCGATCCGCCGGATCGCTGCGGCCGGATCGATGCAATCGGGTAGGATCGCCGAGCCGTGAATAGAAATCATAGCAACAATCGCGAAACGTCGCGTCGTCTCGCCACGCTCGTTTCGTTTCTCATCGCGCCGGCTTTTCTTCGCTCGCGGAGCGGGACTCTTTACATAAGCGGGCTCGTTGACGTGCGAAATTGGAGAAAAGAAGGAAAAGTCGAAACTGCCGTTCGGTCATCGGGAACGGCGCGGATCCCGGGGAAGAGCGAGAGAGACCGGGGTATGATGACAGGGTAATCGAGAAAGCGCGCGAAGCGATCAAGCGCGGCACGGGAGGGAATTAAATCTGTATTAGTCTGAGTCAACACGTCGGGTTCATCATTACCCATGCTAATTGCAGTAATTATAATCATTATCATCATCATCACACGCGCGAACATGCTATATTTGAGCATGTGCGTGTCTAATGGCAGGAATAATGATAAAAGTGAATACCAGAGAAGAGCTAATGCAACTTTCATGCACATCTATTTGTTATTCATTAATATTATATTTATGAACTTGTCATCAATTATGTAATAATTATTTAAATGTTATTCTCTCTCTACCTCCTCTTTTTCTTTGTATCATTAAATTATTTTATTATAATCAAAAATTGTGTGTGTGTGTGTGTGTGTGTGTGTGTGTATCTATCATGCTGATTTCATTTGATTACTTTTCGATACAAAATATACCACGATTAAAATCAGAAGTTTGCTCGACGTTTGATTTCTACCCTGAGATTAACAGATCGACATTAGTATCATTAGTAGGGCGTGAAGTTTCACTTACTAATAAATGGCTCGGGATATTCTAACTTCATCGTTTACAACAATTGTGATTGTACACTCACTGCTCTCTCTCGGCGATTCTTTAGCCTTGTCGAGGGAAGTCGAGACACCAGTGTCCTTGATGTGAAGCGCATCGCCGTTAGGCAATTTTCTCAGTTCCGTCGACGAGAGTTGCAGACAGGTCTGCAAAATTTTCGCCGATTTACAAAACTATCGGAGCGGCAGAGGATCGCCTCCGTAAATCGAATCCTAAGATCCCAGGGATTACATAACCGTCTATCCGCGCTGTACGAGTGCTAGTATTAATAGCTCGTAATTTATGAAAAAAACACACAAATGAGGAAGAACGTGTTTGCCTTGAAAACAAAAGAACTGACCGGAGAAGAGATCGTTCGATGCGATTGTTTCTGAATTTCCGCGATACTCGAAAACGTTTCGAGCCGAGTCAATGGGTAATCCCGACAAAAGTACAACTTGTTTGAATTTTGTTTCTCTGTAACATCGCATTTAATATATAATTATGGCGAAGTGATTTATTGAAATATTTAGCTACGAGAGATTAACTTTCGGTTCCTTTTTAGCTGAATTGCTGAACTGGTGCAATAAGTTGAAGTGAGAAAACATACTTGTCTCGCTTCAACTTATTGCACTAGTTCAGCGGTGCAGCTAAAAAGAACAGACTATTTATCTACACCATCAGAGCCTTTCCCCCATTATTGTTTGGATTTGCAACCGATTCTTCTCCTCTTACATACATACATACATACATACATACATACACATATATATATATATATATATATATATATATATATATATAT